TTCTAGTCCATGTTCTTTTTATACCTGTTTGAATGCTTCTATACTCTTTAATAAGAGTAGGAATTATATTATGATTATGAAGGCACATACACATATCTGGCTACCAGTACAGCTGAATAGACCCTGGGAAGAATCTCCAGTGGCTAAATTGATTTTTAAGGTCATGGGAAAGCTGCCACATAGAACCCACAGATTCATCGGTAGGGTTATTTCAGGTGTGATAGAACTTATTGCCATTACCACTACAGTCACTATCACTGGAATGGCCTTTCATACTGCCATCCAGACACCTGACTATGTGCAGAACTCAAGCTTCTCTTACATTATGGAACCAATAAGTTTGTATAGATGAGGAATTAGGCCAGAATGTGGGTGAATTACAACAGGATTTTCAATGGTTAGGAGACCAATTTGTTGCTATTCAGCAGCAGGTAATGCTGCACTATGACTGGAATGCTACCACCTTTTGCATTACTCGGTAAAGGCAAAAAATATGACAGAACAGTGGGATCAAATTAAATATCATTTGCAAGAAATTGCCACCAATATTTCCTTAGTGTTCATAGCCTTCAACAACAGGCTGTGGAAGCATTTGCCACTCTATTACCATATTCTAACTTTGATGGCCTTGAAGAAGGTATATCTACTGCCTTGGCCGGAATGGATCCCCATACCGAATACAAAGCAGAACTCAATTAATTGGTGAGAATACCCTACTATTCGTTATTATTGTAATAAATATTGGTTATTGTTGTGTTAAACGTTAATTTGATTAAAGTCTTCCCATTGTGCATTGTTTAGCCATGTTAAAAAATGAAACAGGAGGAGTTGTTAGAAGACAGCCTGAGCCCCTTGAGATGGTGACTGTGGGCTAAACTCAGGTCTGGGATTGGACTGTAGAAGTGCAGTCATTGAGCAAAAGGAACTTATTGTGCCTCCCCAACTTGAGAATGGCCCCGGTCTTGCATCTCTAGGCTGGCACCTTGATGCACTATGGTAGTTAACAAATTAACTAGTAAATGATTGTACGTCATTGATAAAGGAGGAAATGTGTTATGTGATTTATTGCAATACGATGATTGTTGTTATTATTAGTAGGAAATTGTTTTTCTGATCGTAGTATATAACCATTGAAAATTTGGAATAAAGACGCTGCATGCTGGACGTGTAGTCATCTGTTGCTTCCTGATTGCACTGTGTCATCCCATTTCTTGCATCCTCTTGAGATGTGACATCTCTGCTTCCACTTGCTTGCTTAATATTGTATCATCTTTGAAGATAACTTTATCTTCAATATCATGTAGGGTTTTACCTGAGTTTTCTTCCATCTAACTTATGAACTGACGTCTGATGCTGAGATCTTTAATCCATTTTGATCTGACTTTTATGTGTGGTGTTAGAAAGAGGTCTGGGTTCAATTTTTACATGTAGCTTCCTAGTTTTATTCACATTGAAGAGATTTTCCTTACTCTACTTCTTATTTTTCTCCTTTTTCAAAGATTAAGTTATCAAAATTTGAGGGTCTATGTCAGGATACGCCGCTCTATTCCATGGGTCTCTGGGTCTGTCTTTATTCCAATACCATGCTATTTTAATTACTACCATTCTAGTACAATTTAAAGTTGCAGAAGGTGATGGCTCCCATCTTCTTTCTCTCATAGATCACTTTGGATATTTGTGGGGATTTATAATTCCATATGAATTTCAGGAGTGTTTGGTCTATTTCTTTGAAAAATGTCATGCAATTCATATAGGGACTGAATTGAACCTCTATAATGCATTGGTGAGTATTGCCATTTTAACAATGTTAAGGTCACCATTTCTTTTGAGGTGCAGATGTTTCTTGGTTTAATGTAGTCCCATTTGTTTATGTTTCCTTCCCCTTGCTTGTTTAGTGGTGTTTTGTCTTTGAAGATGACTTTAATTTCAATGACATGGAGGGTTCTGCTACATTTTCTTTGATGGCCCTTGTCACTGTCACTGTCCTCCCATTTTTCATCGATTTGCTAGAGTGGGCCCAGTAACGACTCCATTGTGAGACTTGTTGCTACTGTCTTTGGCATATTGAATACATCACGGGTAGCTTGCCAGGCTTTGCCGTGTGGGCAAGATACTCTTGGTAGCTTGCCGGGCTCTCCGAGAGGGTAACAGGAATCCAACCCAGGTCAGCCGGGTTGGCTGCATGCAAGGCAAACGCCCTACCCTCTGGGCTATCACTCCAGCCCTATGGATTCAGATTTTATTATTGAGGTATTGTATTTTGACAATATTAATCCTCAAAATCCATGAACAGGGATGTCTTTTATCTCTTTTTCTTGTGCCAGCTTTTATCTCTCAAAGTAGTGTTTTGTATTTGTTTTTTATAGGTTCTTTACTTCCTTAGGTAATCTTATTCTGAGGTACTGGATTTTCTGAGGCACTATTGTGAATGGAGTTGTTTTGTTTAATATCTCTTTCTTCTCTTTAATTATTTGTATATAGGAAAGCCATGAACATTTGGATATTGATTTTGGAACTTTCCACTTTGTAGTAAAAATCTATAATTTCTAGGAGATTTTTGTAGAGTCTTTAGGAATTTCTTAATATCATGGCATCTGCAAATAGTGAAAGCTTCATTCATTCCTTTCTTATCTTGAGGTCCTTGATATCTTTTTACTGCCTAACTACTATGGCAAGTACGTCCAGTACTATATTGAATAGAAGTGGCAAGAGCTGGCAACCTTGTTTTGTGTTTGATCTTAGAGGGAAGATTTTCAGTTTTTCTCCATTGAGGATAATGCTTTCTGTGGGCTTGTGGTAGACGGCTCTGACTATATTGAGCAAAGTTACTTCTACTCCCATTTTGAGTGTTTTTTAATCAGGAAATCGTGTTGCAACTTGCCAAACGTTTCTATGCATCTATTGTTACAATCATATTTTTGTTTCATTAATATATGTTGATTGAGTTGCAAATGTTAAACTATCCTTTAATCTCTGGGATGATCATGATTTTTATGATGGTGATGGTCTTGTCATGGTCTATGATTTTTATGATGAGTTGAATTCTCTTTGCTAGTATTTTGTTGAAGATCTTTGCATCTGTGTTAAATACGGACATCAGCCTTTAGTTTTATTTTTTTGTGATATCTCTGTCTCCTTTGGGTATCAGAGTGATATTTGCCTCATAGAAGCCCTTTGGTTGTGTTTTTGTTTCTTTGTTTCTTGTCTTTATTCATTTTCCCGGAAAAGTCTGAAAACTATTAGCAGTAGGTCCTCTTAAATGGTTTTGTAGAATTTAGTGCAGAATCCATTTGGACCAGGGCTTTTGTTTTGAGCAAGACCTTTGATTATCATTTTAATTTTCTCAATAGAGAAAGGTCTGTTCAGGTATTCCAAATCTCCCTGGTTTAGCCTTGTGTGATTAAAGGAATCCAGGATTTTATCCACGTCTTCAAGATTCACTTGGTTCATGGCATATAGATTCTCAGATTAATCTTTGATGATCCTTCTAATTTCTGTTGTGATATTCTGTTGTGATATTCTGTTGTGAATATTCAATTCATCCTTCCATTTCTGGTTTTGGTTTATTAAGGTTTTCTCTCTCCTTTTTGTCAGTGTTGCTGTTGTTTGTCGAGCTTGTTTGTTTTCTCAGTGAACCAGCTCTTGGTTTCATTGCTCTTTTGTATTTTTGGGGGGAAGGGGAATTTCAACTCGCTATTTTTTGCTGTAAGTTTTATTATTTTCTTTCTCCTGCCTTGTTTTGGCTCCTTTTCATTTTTGGACATTTTCATAGATCTTAAACTGTGATGTCAAGTTACTTATGTGGGACTTTTCTTCCATCCTGATGAATGCTTGCAGAGCTATGATCTTTCCTCTTAACACTGTTTTTGTCTGTGTCCCACGAGTTCTGGTAGCTAGTGTTCTCATTATCATTTGTTTCCAGGAATTCTTTGATTTTCTTTTTGACTTATTCTCTAATCCACATGTTGTTCAGTATTGAACTGTTTAATTTATAGGTGTTAAATTCTGCATTTCTGTGTGCCATTTAATTCTATTTTCAGTGCATTATGGTCTTAAAAGATAGTTGATAGAATTTCTATCCTCTTAATTTTATGGAGTTTTGGGGGTATATGGTCTATCTTGAAAAATATTCAATTCAAGCTGCACTGATGTGTATTTGGCTTTTGATTGATGAAAAGCCTTGTATGTATCTATTAGCACTCTCTCTTCCACTTCATCCTTCGAAGCCAGTATTTTATTGCTGAGTTTTAGTATAGGTGATCTGTCAAGAGACGTAAAAGTGGTGTTGAAGTATACAATTCCTATTATGTTGCTACCAATGTCCCTTTGAAGTCTATTAGCAGTAGTTTTAAGTATTCTTCTGGTAACAAGTGGTGAACACATGTTATGTCTGGGGCAGGGCACCTAGGATAGAAAAGAGACCACTATGCCAAAAGATAGCTGGAAATGATCACTCTGTACAAGAACTGAGTGTTGAGAGTAGGTAAATTGACAAACATGATAAGCTTTCAGTATATGTGCTGCAAACCATTATGCCCAAAAGTAAAGAAAGACACACACACACACACACCAATAGAAAGAGAAAGAGAGAGAAAATAGAAGTGCCTGCCACAGATGTAGGCTGCAGGGAAGGGAGCGTGTATGAAACTGGGAACATTGATGGTGATGGGAGATGTACACTGGTGAAGGGATGGGTGATGGGACATTGTATGACTTAAACTCAATCATGAGCAACATCGTTATTGTGTATCTCATGGTGATTCAATAAAAAATATAATGAAAAAAGAAATAACCTTACACTGTCTCTTATATTAATGTTTTTCAGTCTGAAATCTGTCGTTGGATACTAGTACAGCTACCAGGGAATTTCTGAAAGATTTATTTTAGCTGGTTACCTTGGAGTAACCAGATCTTTGAACCTGGATGTCTGTGTTATCCAGCTTCTGGAACCTTTTTCTTTTGTTTGTATTTTTTATTTTGTTTTATTATTACTTTTTTGCAGTTCTGTGTAATTTCTATAACCTTGCTCTGGATAGAACAGGGCAAAGCCTCAAACCATTTCATCTTATTCTTGCAAGCACTGTAGAAATGCAAAGGGTCACTCCAAACCCAAGCACACTGGAGGCCTGCACCAGCGTCAGGAAGTTTTGATTGTTACTATCTCATTGAGGTTATCTCCCTGTACCTCTGGACCTCTGATGAAACTTATGTTGTTCTCCTTGAATTCACACTATGGTTCTCTTGTCTGAGTTTGTAATATTTTGAGTTCGTTTTTCCATATTTTGCTGTTTCCTGAGGTTTCAAGTTCAATGATTTTATCTTTAACTGTTCTTACTCTGCTGTTGAGGGCATCCATTTGAGTTTTTTGTTTCATTTACCGATTTTTTTTTATTAATGTGATTTTTGTTTGTAGTTTTCTTATTTTGGATCTCATTTCCACCTGGCACCAACACAAGCATGTTCAAGTCTAGTTTGTATGTACTTTCCCAAATTTCTCCCTCCAACTCCATTGCTAGGATGGTTATCAAGGGGGAGCTTGGAGCTCCAAAGAGCTTGGGACTCTTTTTAAAATATGATGATCTTTACAATGGGTCCCATTCTCCTGACCGTGAAAGAGCCACCAATATGGCAGTGTAAAGAAAGATGAGGAAGGAGAGGCTCATAAAATCTCAGGGCCGACCTAGGCTGCAAAAACAAAGGACAAAAATGACTGTCTGTACTTTAATGCACGTACACTGGCATCGGATTAATCCATTGAGGACTTGATGGTGCAAGCGCGAAAGATCAAGTATTATATCATTGGTCTGACTGAGACGAGAAGGCGTCAATCACATCATACCGTTTTTGACACTGGGGAAGAACTGTTTCTTGGAACATGCGACAAAAGAGATGTCGGTGGTATCGGTGTCCTTGTCAACACGAACTTGGCCATAAACATTGATTCATTCAAATGCCTAACAGCCCGAATCAGATGATTTCACTTGAATAGATGTGGATCACTGCCGGTAGTTTCTATCTTTGTTGTCTATGCACCAACATTCAATTATGATGAAGAAGAAATTGAGAAGTTCTACAGGGAGTTGGAGAAGTTCTATGAAGAAGACCACACCTTCTACAAGATAATTGTCGGTGATTTTAATGCCAAGATAGGACTGAGAAGATCAGCTGAAGAACTCCACATCTGGACCCATGGCCTAGAATGGAATAAACAGGATGAGAGACTGTCAGAGTTCATCATGTCGACCAAGACCATGCATGGTAACTCACAATTCCAGAGGGCCGAATCTAAACGTTGGACATGGGAGTCTCCTGGTGGATGATTCCACAATGAAATTGACCACATCATATTAAATCGATGGTTTTGCTTGACCGATGTCGGTGTTGTCCCAAAATTCCAAACGGGATCAGACCACCGTCTCCTTCATGCAAAATTCTACTTCACAGAGCGGGGAGAAAGAGCTGTAAAGTTTAAGAAGAGAACTCCCAGAACGACCACCAACAGGGAGCTCTTTGGCACTATTGCAGAAACATGGAAAGATACCGTTGTTGACAACATTGATGAGGAATACGATCGACTGGTTCAGCACCTCCATGATTGTGCGAGGAAGGCCAAGAGAGAGATAGCCACAAAAAGCCGACTGTCTTTGAAAACTCTTGAGCTCATTCACCAACGTGGCTTGGCGCAAGTCTCAGGCAACTGCAAGCGAACGTCTGAGCTTGCAAGGCAGTGCAGAGATGCAATAAAGGAATACCTCAAAGAGAGAAGAGCAGCAGTGCTGGCAGATGCAGCAGAAGCTGGAAAAAGCATTTGCTATGCCCGCCTGTCCTTTGCCAACTACAAGACCAAGATGACTGCCCTTCAATATCCTGATGGATCTATCACATCTTCCAGAAGGGCAATGGAGAAGATTATCCATGACTTCTATTCGGATCTCTTTGATAGCCACATCCACCTGCCCACACACCAAATTCCGCAGGATGGATATGTCATTCTCACAGTTCTCCCTTCTGAAATCTGACACACCATTTCGTCGGTAAAGAATCGAATAGCACCTCACCCAGACAAGGTCAGACCCAAACACCTGAAGAACCTGCCATCAGTACTCATCAATATACTGGCTTATCTCTTCACATGCTACCTGTCTGAATGCAAGGTTTCATCCCAGTGGAAAACCAGCAGGACTGTACTACTGTGCAAGAAGGGAGACATCCACGACATTGGCAACTACCACCCAATCTGCCTGTTGTCTGTAATCTATTAAGCTGTTCACTCAAGTCATCCTGAATAGGATTAGTAGAACACTAGATGAAAACAAACATGCAAGCAAGCCAGTTTCCGAAAAAGATTTAGCACAATCGACCATATCCACACCATAACCAAGTTCTTTGAGGTTTCTCGGGAGTTCCAGCTGCCGCTCCACCTAACGTTCATTGATTTAAAGAAGGCTTTCGATTCTGTTGAGACTGAAGCGGTCATTGAGGCCCTAGCCAAACAGGGCGTTCAAAGTCAATACATCAGGATCCTCTGTGAGCTCTATTGCGGATTCACTACCAGGATCTCACCATTCTACAGGGAGGTGATCATTGATGTCAAGAGAGAGGTGCGGCATGGTGATAATATTTCACCGAAACTCTTCAGTGCCAACCCTCGAGAACGTCATGCGACAATTTGAATGGGAAGGAATGGGAGTGAAGATAGATGATCGGCAACTCCACCACCTCCGCTTCGCTGATGACATCGTTCTTATAACACCAAACATTAGCCAAGAGGCACAAATGCTGGCTGACTTCGACCATGAGTGTGGAAATGTCGGACTACAGTTGAATCTTAGGAAGACAATGTTTATGAGAAATGGTCTCATTCCTGACGTTCCATTCACTCTCAATGGGACAAACATCTCCGAATGCAGCAGTTATGTGTACCTAAGTCGAAAAGTCAACATAACGAATGACCTGGCACCTGAGTTGCGCAGGAGAAAGAGAGCAGCTTGGAATACCTTCAAGAACGTCGAAGAAATAGCTCAGAGGACAAAGAACCTTCGGCTTCAGGCACATCTCTTCAATTCCACTGTTCTTCCTGCATTAACATACGCCTCAGAGACCTGGACCCTATGCAAACTTGATGAGAACACCATTCGCGTCTCCCAAAGAGGAATCGAAAAAGCTAAGCTTGGAGTATCACGCTTCACTCAAATGAGAGAAAGAATCCGAAGTCCCGACCTTTGTCAATGGTCAAGAATCAGGGACGCTGTCTCATTTGCCAAGGAGTCGAAATTCAGATGGGCTGGACACGTAATGAGATTTGGAGATGACCATTGAACTAGAGCCATTACCGACTGGATTCCACAGGATGTCAAAAGATCACATGGCCACCCACCTATGAGATGGTCAGACTTCTTCGTCAAGACCCTGAACTATCGATTTGAGGCTCTTCGTGTTCCTTGCCATTGGGCTACATGTAGCACACAACAGGGATGAATGGAGATGCTGCTGGCGCCCGCTCGAGTGAATCGATGAGTAACGGGATGTCAAGTGATCAAGTGATCAAGTGATGATCTTTATAATTTTTTTCACCTGGTCTTAGTTGTATGCTGAACACTAGTTGTAGTGTTGAAGTGCCTCCTCCCAGGAGATCCACTCCCCTTTCAGGAAGCTTCTTGCACTTGACTTGGAATTATACATCTCAAATGGCTTTCTTGGACTAATAGCATGGGTCCTTTATGTCAAAAGTCTCCAAGTCATTGAACTGGTTTAGGTTTAAGATATGTGCAATATGCATTACTGAGGTCCCCATATCTTTCTGCTTGCAACCTTTCCTCCTTACAGATTTTACCTCCTTAAATCATTCAAGAAAACATGGGTGAAGGCCCATTTTTTGTAACTTCTCCATGTAGACAAATGCACACAGATCCAGCCTATGAAAAGGAGCAATATTTCAGGATATCTTAGTGTTAATGGACCCAGGCAATGGGTTTCAGGGTTGTCTGTCTGAAAGTCTGAAAAGAGAAAACATAATTATAACTGAAGTAAAAAACCTTTTTCTCTATACTTGGGAAGACAGAGCATTTTAGCAAGACAATGACTACAGCAGTTTTATTGCTTCTTTTACATACTTGTAAATGTGTTGCAAAAGAATTTTTTTTTGCTTTCACTGTAAAAGTATGTTCAAAGTTAACAGGCAAAAGTTGTTCAGTATAACATTTTCTTAGAGAGGAGTTTCAATACCTCAATGGTTTCATAGCTATCCAATAGTCTGATTCACTTTCTGTCAAAGTCTGTCAAAGTTTGATCACTGGATGCATGGATTGTACTGGTATTATTCTGTAAAGTTGAACTCAGCTAGAAATTCCATTAGGTTTTATAGCCATGGAGAGTGCTTAAGAAATCTTGGTAAGGTCCCTTCCTTTTAGCCAGTCTTAAGCTCTCTGGGTCTGATAAGATGTCCAACCTCATAAAGCTCAAGGGGCTAAATTTATGCCTGTAGAACTTTTCTGTATCTGAGAAGAACTACAGGCAAGAGTGAGGGTAAGGCTTAATTTTGTTGCTAATTTTCCCAATATCTTTTTAGGGTGTAACTAAATGTCTCCACTTTTTAAAAAATTTTTATTAGTGAGACACCATTAGGTATAGTTGTAGACTTACAAATTTTTGTGCTTGGGTTTCAATTATACAATGATCAAATACCCATCCCTCCTCCAGTGCCCATTTCCCACCACCATGGATCCCAGTATCCCTCCCATCCCCCATTCCCCCCATCCCACCCCTGCCTCTGTGGCAGGGCATACCCTTTTTTCCTCTCACTCATTTTGGGTGTTGTGGTTTGAAAAAGAGGCTGAATGTCTCCACTTTTATCTATCAATGGGGGTGACAGGCTGTGTGGAGCTGATAATTTATTTTTAAATCACAGGCTAAGTCTTGAGTATTTTTTTGAGTAATTTTAGAAGTGAAAGAAGATACCATTTTTAGTCTGTAGTGACCTGAGTAAGCAAAATCTATGAATTACTTAAGTAACTCTTTATATACTTCTCTGACTTTCTCAGTACAGATGGGGAAAACTTCTACCCACCCAGCGAAGCTGTCAATATGAACCAATAAATATTTGTACCCTGAGCATTTAGGCATGTGTGCCAAG